TTCGATGTGGGAGGTTATCCTGTGCAATGTGGCCTATTCAACAGCATTCCTGGCCTCCACTCGCTAGATGCAGGTAGCATCCTCCTAGTTGTAGTGATCAAAAGTATATCCAGACATTGTCACATGTCCTTGGAAAGGAATACTGCTCCTGGTCATGAATAACTGGTTGGAGCAAACTAGATATGGCAAAGAAGAAAGTTTGGGCAGAATCTGGAGTAAAGAAATTAGATCATTATCAAGATTAAAAGTCAGAAGGTAAACATGCTGAAAACTTCTCATTGAAGGGAATCAGATCAAATTTCAGAAAGCTTACCAAAATTCCAGTAGCAGAATTTATACTCATGGTTTGTAATGGCAAGACTGGGTATCAGTGTTCTCAGTGACAAAACCAGTATTTGCAATTCTAAGAAAAGACTCAATTGTCATGCAGTGGTCCTTTGACAAAAGAAAGACCCATAAACTCACCATTATGAAAACTGATTGTATATATTTCTGACATTCAGCAATGCATACTCTTTTAGTCTCACCCAAAAGTAGTATTTGTTTTTCTGACTTCATCTGTGTTTGGTCAGTTTTAGCCTTCTTGGATATTGCGCCTCATCATTTTGAGGAGCAAAATTTCATGCACAAAATAAAGTTATCTGTTACAATTAAGTTCTTAGGTGAACAGTTCTTGGTCAGGTGTACTAATATTTAATACCAGCTACTAGGGTGAATGGAGTAGCACTTAATTATTTCTTATTTCCCATAACATCTTTAATGGAACATGTCATCCATCAGCTACCATACAACATTCTGATCTAAATGGTGAGGTTAACCAGGGTGACCCTGGAAGGTAAAGAAATAAATGCATCAGTGAGGGTGTAGCTACTGGCAATTTGTTAAGATTTTTATAGCTTGTATAGTTAAAATTCCCCATACTATTATGAACTGTGGTGCTTTAAGGAATTAAGTATTTTCATCAGAGACGGCTCCTGTTGTGTGAAATGCCTTCAGGAGACAAACTATGCATAACGAAAAACCTTGTGAATGAGGTAGTTACCATTACAGATGAGCCACAGGCTGCCTCTTAGATTTACAGAATCACTAGAAACAAAACAACACACCCACGGATGCAGACGGGATCAAATTTATTGTGCTCCTTCAGGGCTGAGAGACAGATTTGGAACATTTTATATGTAATATGGCTTGAATTAATATATGCTTTTAATTAGTCTAGCTTTCAGAAAACCTAAAAGGACATCAAATCCCCATTTGGGCACAAAGAATGTTTAGGCAAATGCACTGTCAAAGCAATACCACCATGATGCTTTTCCTAGATATTATTATGCTTTATCTCAATTAGAACTTGTATCTTATGGATGTTAAAAAGCTTGCAGAATTATTTTTCAGGCTGCACAAGGAATCATCGTATTGAAAACATGTTTTGGGAAAGCAAACGAGGCTTAGGCTAAGCATATGTTCTCCATTCTCTCTTTTTCTTTGCCTTTCCCACCATTATTAATTTTACACCTACATTGAAGATATTTTGCCCAGATATTAATATTCCTGGGTTTTCTGTTTTGCTATAGAAAAGGTCGGGAAAAACGCATAGGAAAATCTCATTGACAAAACATTTCACTAAGCCCCGTGTAGATTTACTAGTCTGCATTAAGGGACCTTCTCTTCAGACTCTCTGGATTTATCATGTATACACATACAGGGTTTTAGGCATTCCAGAGGTTTCTGAGAGATCTGGCTCTTTGTGTGATCGTATGATCATCCATGTGTGAAGTGTTGTACATGATCAGAGCTCAGGGAAAATATTTTAGAATCTCAGTCAGGTGCCAAGAGAAGTTCCAGGTCTTGAATAAATGTTCCTTGTGTAAACAGACTGTCCAAGGCAAATTCAATCCCATTTCTGTTTTGTGATCTCCATGGCTACATGTGGAGAGAGGGGATTTTAGGGTTATATCTATTTGGTAGGGGGGGGCAGTCTATTATTCTTTTAAATGCTTTATAAGATTTACTGGTCTTTTGTGATCATACTTTGCTATGGTAATGAGAATAGCCTCTAGACCAAAGCTGGCCCTGAGGTCTTTAGATTCCTGAAACACTATACTAAACTGAATTTGTTTTATGAAAACTTACATGCAGCTGACTCTACTCCCAGCCTGGATCAAGAATGCTGTGATAATAGGAAGGCTGGCTGGGATTTGGAGTTAGTGTGGTTTTAGGCTAGGAGCCCTGATAAGGAGTAAGATTGATTTAGAGAGGAATGGAGGAAAGATACTGACAGAAGTTTTTGTAACATGTGTCCTTGTATGAAGGTAACTGAATTTGTTGACAATCGATAATCCATAGATTATGGAATCATAAGACCTGTTTTCTGATCCTGGATATTTCCTTACTGGCATTTTCCCCGTTGGTAGTTTCCTTAATCTCTCCAATGTTATCTTTTCTTATTTACAGTGGGAAGTCATAACACTTGACATAGTTATTTTAATGAGCGTTAAGCACCATGAAGATGACTCAGGAATTCCAGTTGATTATTGAGGCCACTCTCTATGTGTGATACTGAGGACGATGGACCCCCAGAAATACTTTTACTGTATTAGGCTGTGAAATTTGGAGGACAAGAACTATGTCTAATTTCACTCTGAGTAATATTCAACACAGTGTGTAGCATATAGTGAATGCCATGCGTGTTGCATTAATTGAATGATGATACATATAGATCCATTTCCAAGAAGAAAGGAAAACCTCACAAAGTACTGTTATACCCAGTTGTGTGCTATAGAAAGGGGTATATGAAACTGGAGTCACTGGTTCCAAAATATTCTCAACATCATACACAGGTGCAAATTCTTAGTTCACTGACCACAGTCTTGATTTTATGTATAGGACTTCTTTTCTTGCCATTCTTTTAGACACAAAATATATCAGTTTCCCATTTAGATAATTTGAGGAATGAAAAAATTTACTATAAGTAGGTAGTGGAGAATATATTACCATGATATTATGTTAATATTAAGAAATCCCTGCCTGGGGCACCTGGATGGCTCAGTTGGTTAACCATCCGATTCTTGATTTTGACTCAGGTCATGATCCCACGGTCATGGGAGGAAGCCCTGCTTGGGCTCCATGCTCAACGTGGATCCTGCTTAAGATTCTCTCTCTTTATCTCTCTCTGCCCCTCTCCTCTGCTCTCTAAATAAACAAATAAATAAATAAGAAAAAGGAAATCCCTGTCACAGAGATAGTTCGGTACTTATGAAAACACATCTTAAACACTAAACAATTTTCTAAATTGCTCCTGATAATGTTTTATATACTTATAGAATAAATTTCTCTATTTTCCCTCCAAATAAGATTATTATGTTGAATTTTGAGTTACAACATGAAAAACCTATTTATAAAAGGTGACAGTATAATAGGTAACTCATGAAACTTGTTTCTGTTTATTTGGATGATATTTTCATGTGCACATATCTTTTTTAAATTTGAGCTTCATTGTAGTTTTTATTTTATTGGCTTCAAAACTCTTTGTTAGCAAAGCATTACTGTAATATTGGCATGTAATTAATAAAGGAATTTTGTTTCTTAGACATGAGTAGCCATTTTAGCTACATATTTTTGCTACATAATGAGAACTGAGTATGATTTTCTCCATTTCCATTTCTTAGGTCCTCTAAAAAATTTTAAAAAATGGCTCCCACTTAGACTTCAAGAATAACATAGTATAAATTTAATACTAGTTTATTTCTAAAGAAAGAAGATGTTTAGCTTTATAGTTAATCAGCCAAAAATTCGGATTATTTATTTGAAACTTCTAGGCCAATATTATATAAATATAAATATATTTCTATAAATACATATGAATATATATATTTGAAAACTGGCTAAATATTTGGGGGCCAGTTATTCTAGATATTACATCAACTCTTTACTTGGAATCTTTTAAAGCTTGGAAGGGTGTATGTGGACTTCTGACACTAAACAGACTAACAAAAAGGAATATAAAATGTATCATGGAGAATATTATTGGTCACTTATGAAGCATATGAAGTAGATAAGGAAAATATCTCCTTTTTCTTAAAAGTAGATTCCTAAAGATTGAGATGGTAGAATCTTTCCAGAAATGGCCAGCCAGAGGCAAAGACCTGGGAGAACACGCTCCCAACAGAACACGACAAGGAAGGATGTTCAGGGTAAAGCTAGCTTGCTTTCTTTTTTTCTTTCTTTCTTTCTTTCTTTCTTTCTTTCTTTCTTTCTTTCTTCTTTCTCTTTCTTTCTTTCTTTCTTTCTTTCTTTCTTTCTTTCTTTCTTCTTTCTTTCTTTCAAGAAATTCATCATTTTTAGATTCAAGGAGTGTGGGTGTGGACTACACCAGGCCCAGGGTTTTGTGTCTCTTGAGGATAGACCCAGTTACAGCAAATACACAGAAAAATGGTGGAGGGAAGGGGACAGTTAGTAGATGTGGTCTTGAACTTGGCTGGGGGGCTGGAAAAGTGATCATTCTCCGGGGCCAGAAATGAGGACCAGTAGGAATAAAGCTGTGTTGGGGGGCCTGGGCGGGCCCAGAGGGGCAGCCCCTTCCCCTCGGTGCTCCTAATTGAGAGACTGAGGCCCCTCTTCTCAGTACTGAGAATAGGCACTTGGCTCCATCATCTTCTGCCGCACCCTCACCCTCAGAAGAGATGCGGTCCTTGCACCTTGGCTCCTTTTAAGAACCTACAGGCTGTTTTCCATTGAGCCCCTAGAAGAAGCTTTTGCCAAACTGAACTTGAAAGAGCTGATCATGATGGCACATGAAGGAGGGGGTGGCCCTGAAG